AAGAGGGTGAACCAGAGGATCCCGATTATTCAGCATCGACGAGATTTGCAATCGACATTCTCTTCCTTTCGCCGCTCATTATATTGCGCCGCTTTAACCGCACGGATCTCCTCCTCTTCGTCACGGGTTCGTTTCTCCGAAAAGGAGGAAAACGAGGTAGAGAGATGGCGAGAACAGAGAAGCATGGCGTAGTGCAAGCTGGCGAAGGTGGATAGGGAAGGCGCATCACCGTGCCGCGACCGCCACAGACCACTACCACCCCCACCAATTAACCGTCCTTCTCCTCCCAAGTCACGAAGCCGCTGGAAACAAGAGATACGCCTGGGGTACAGAGAGGGAGAGAGTAAAGTCAGATTGCACAGTCTGCGAAAGCGGGAGACACGCGGGGACTTGAGACAAATCCGTGTAATTGGTATTAAACAAAGGAAAGGAAAGAAAGTTGCATGAAGAGGACGGAGAGAAAGCAAATTTCAGAGAAAGGAGAGAAAGAGAGAGAGAGAGAGAGAGAGAAAGAAAAAACTAAGATAAAAGGGGAAGAAATGGTCGTTAGGTACTGTACAAACCTCGGCTCCACCTAAAGTGGCGTTTTCCACCTCGATGATATTTCAAAGACGCGAAACAGTTTTTATATATTCGGTCGGTAAGGTAAAAACGCCGAAACGATCTCTCGTGGAAATCACCGGCAGATTAATTTCTCTTCATTAGAGGGAGAGATTCCCCTCATCTCGTAGCCTCGTCGAGTACTCAGGATATCGATACTTTAATAACGCTCTTCTCCACTTCACGAGTTCAGAGTTCAATTGCCTTTTTTGTCATTAATTGTCGTTTCACGATGGCGTCCGCTAGAGAGCGCTGTGAAAAGCACTCGAAACGCGCACAGGGAATCCCTGCTGGAGCACCGGGGCACAAAGTCAGCCTCCGTTTGATCGTTTACTTGTCGTTTTCGCATCACTTGATAGGCAATTGTTTCGACAAACTTGGGGTGCAGCGTTTTTTCTTTGTAACCAGCCTCCTCTGGTCTCGTTCCCGCGCATACGGCCTTTCGTTTAATCCCTTCATGTAAATGCAACAGAGAATTCTTTTTAAGCCGTATTTACGCGCTTTACATATTTCACCTTCTGCAAACGTTTCAGGCGGGCTTGGCAATCGCGTTTGGTACACACACCGACACGGTGATCTCAAATCGTTGTCGAATGTCGAGAAAACGAACCGCACTTTTTCTCAGGCTTGTGTCGTCGTCGATTCCCCTCCTTATCTACCGACCCTGCCACCACCAATGCCACAGGGGGCTCTACGACCGATGATAAACACTGTAGCATCGGTAGCTGGATGCACGCTTTTTTGTCGGCTGCTCTCCCGCGTATTTTGCACGCTTAAAAAGTTTCAGCTCTGCTATATAACGAGCTTAAGACCTCGCGCGGTTAACGAGCAATGATTTACCACGTTCCCTGCCATATGGCAACTACCAATACATACACGCACACGAATGAACACTTGCACGTCTGAATACAAACGATTCGTGTGCGCGTTCGAGAGCGGCGACTGTATAAATCACGGCCGGCGTACAGGCCTAATATAATCGCGCCTAATAAAGTTGGCAGCCACTAAATTTTCTTAACTCGGCCCCCTCCCCTTACTCCGATTCGACGATGTAATTCTCCAACGAGCATGCACGCTCCGCGCTCTCTAGGAATTTGCTGCAGTCGATTCCAACTGAAACACGATGGAAAGTTTAGAAACAGGTGGAAGTTAAGATGTTCGTGAGCACTGTACAATTACTCGTTAAAGAAACTTTCTATAACTAACTATAAGTTCCAAAAATTCCATCCAAATATGACCAAATCGTATACTTTCAGGAAATATGGGACCCGGGTACATCCACTAAATAACGTCATCATTGACCAGTCTAGAGGTATCGTCCAATATGGCCGACGACAGAAGTGGAAGGGAGATAGAAGAAAGAAAAATTGGATTTCATGGTCGAAGAATATCGAATGGCCAGAAATAAATCGTTTCCCAAGCAAGAACCGCTTTTCGAAGGACGACTTAGTTAAGGGACTGAACTCGTGTTTGGCTCGGCACTAGCCCAACCATGTATTTACATGAGAGATTTACGGTACGCTGCTACCGATCCCTACCATGTATATTCTCGGTGCATTAGCGTTCGAACGGCTGGAGAACGTCGCCAGCAGAAGCGACTAGTTTGACCTTTGGACCGGGTTCCTTTCCCTCGGCGCTGCATCTGCAAAGCAAACTCCCCAGGGGCCACGCGATTACGTTTTCTTCCATTTTCATCAATTTGACGAGCTCTTGCCCATAATTCGTATCTCTCTCTCGCTTTCGAGCTTTCCGCATTTCCCGCACGGTGTCACTGCTTTGCCGCGAGGTACGTTTCCAGGAGACAAGTGACCTTTGTGGCCTGAGAATCTCATGGAATCGTTACGTCTTCCATCGAGGCGATACTGTACTGCTATGGACACGTTCTAATAACTTTATGACTGTTCCGCAGATAAATTTCATACAGCCAATTATCCACGGAGAGATTCGGTATTAGAATGATTAGCTAACAGCCTATCTATATACGATTTGTGCTATGATATGCCTCGCGAGAAGAAGAAACGATAGGTTATGAGGCACATTTCTCGTTACGGTACGTTTAATTTCATAAAAATACAAATTCGATTAGAACGTAATTCGGTTATTTATTTTCTAGGACCATCCAGGGTATTTCGTCTGATTAATTCAACAAACCCGTCCTCGAATTTAATCCTGCCACGGTATGCATTTCACAGTGTCGCTGTCCATGAAAAAAGTGACAGCCATGATATTAATATTATTCGAGGGAGATAAACGCAAAGGGCAACCGCCATTATGTGGACGCATATGTGTACGCCGACTGTCAGCCACCTATCGATCATCGCCACAATTATCGGCGAGCCAAGAGCAATACGGGATTCGTCGAGATCGAGAAATGACGCCATTGAAGCGGTTGGTATATCAATATCTACTAAAAATTAATGCACTTTCTTTTTATTTTTAAAGATTCTTCGATTCCTCCTCTGCCAGTTATCTCCTCACTGATGATTTTTTTAACGACCATGATTTTTTTTCGTTTTTAATAACCAAACATTTCACGACTATCTCGCCGTCACACTATCAAAAAGCTTCCACATGAGAACACACTGTCCTGAATTCGAAGGACCTATCAACACTAATAACGATACGTGACCATCAAAGACGCTAGATCCCCTCGCCGGATCATCGAGTTGCAAAAAAGGAATAAAGTAAAAGCGAGCAATTAAAAGCCAACAAGTCAGGCCTCTTGTCCCTCTATGCTTCGGACCCCGTTCAACCCACCCTCCTCTTACAAACCCTTTCAAACCTTTGCATCATCGTCCAATCAAGGTAACCGCGTTTCAACTGTCGACTGTTTACGTGTGCGCGCACGCACGCACATATAGGCACACAGATCAGACAGACTGTGCGTTGTGTATACTATCCGTTGAGAACCTTCCCTTGTTAGGAGTCATTCAAACATTTGCCATATCACGATCATTCCGAGGCATTTCTTGCTGACTAGAACTAGAAAGACGGTCTTATTGAGCAGTTGTTCTTGTTTTCCTCTTGTGTGCCACAAGAATTAATTTCGAAACCGTGAACGGTCACCTTTTCTTCAGTTGCTCTGAAGTTTGTCCAAGTTTCTGCGTATGAGAGCCGTGATTTAGCATAGTGATTCTCAAGAATGAATTTTGGTATAGAGAGACTGGAATGTGAAGACATTATACCCGATGAAAAAGAAATTTAAACTATGACGTGAGTGCAATTTTATCCAAATAATGATGAAAATGAGGAAGAAGCTGCTACGGAATTAGAAGAGTATTTTTTAATGAAGGATTTCAATGATTTTCAGGTAACCGGTAACCACGATATTTCTGTATGTCTGCACGAATTCGCAATTCCTATGGATGATGTGGGCTCCATGATATTCATGCGAAGGCAGCATTTACGAGATGCGATTCTAAAAACGCGTCCACCAAGCCTCGAGCTCATTCAAAACAGTTACACGTCGCACAAAGACCCTGATGGGAAGGCAAAAAGACATCGGACAGGCTCTGAAGACTTCCTTGGAATACCAGCGACACACTTTGAAAGGGCGCCATCTAGAAGACACGTTTGTGCGTCTGAAGTTTCTTCTGAAAACAAGATCGAGATAACCTCAAAGCCGACAGAGGTCGACGGGATGCGCATCGATTGAAAATCGAAACGTCATTCTCGTCGGGTTGCGTTGTTCTGACATGAGCAGCGGACTTGGGGTAACCTACCGCCTCGAATTAGCGACCCGTTCGCCTCCTCTGCCTTGGATGAGCATGTTTTCTCGGTAGGCGCTCCTTCTTTGTACCGTATGCGTCATCCTTCACCGATTCCACGTGCATTTTATTTTCTTTACCTCCTTTTTTCAGATTATCCCATGAAGAACCCCTCGCATTGCCCGCGGTCCTCTCTGTTGAATATCAAACGAGGCATACAGGTGAAAGTATAGAGTAAGAGAGAGATGCTCGGTGCCTTAGTCATCCTAGACGTATTGTTGGACCATCAACGGAGAGAGAGTAGGTAGAACAATGCCGCCATGCGTCACGACGCCTGGACGTCTGCAGTGAATGCAGCTATGTGGAGAATAATTATCGTTGTTTGCACTTCGTTTTCCTGTCCGTCGTTGGGACGTTAATATTTTTCGGCCTTAATTGATGCGCCGATAATGGCACGTGGGCTCCACGGAATGGACGCTTGTTTAGTCGGGACCGTGGTCGGCTCCCATTTATATAGATGGAAAGGGAGATGAAGGTGGATACATACACGCATACACAGCACGCTGACGCTCAGTTCAACGTCAATGAGCAGTACACAATGGACAATAATGTATTCCTTCTGGCATGGTGTCATTCCCTTTTGTTGTCAATGTAAGACGAATGAATTTTGAACCGAGGAATGTGACTTATGTTTGATCATATTTACCCAGTAAGTGTCCTTCTTTGTCTTCGCCTCGACTTAAGTTAAAGAGGATGCTTGCAGCTGGACAGTTGCTTACATGCATAGGTAGAGCACGATATCCCACTTATTACCATAGTCGTGGTTATCTGTCTTGAACATGTGTTCTACAGATACACCAATCAAATGTCCAATCGTAAGTTTTAAATTACACATACAGTAAGATTATTACTTAGCCCCTTACCTTACTATTTCAGTTCCAATAGTGTACACCCAAACGTGGTAAAGAATAACAAGCAATTGTCGAGTTGAGTCTCGTCGAGACAGGAAAACATCGATGAAGATTAACCACGAGCCGTGTTGTTTACATTGAGTTAACCTAACCTATAGAACCCACGACTCTCGCCCGTTACACTCATATTTGGCCCGATTTCCTTACCACAAATCTCATACCATGCTGTAAGCGAAAGGGTTAAAGAGTCATTCGTTATGCATAAGTCTAGGAACTGCCATCTAAAAATTGAATTGCGATACTCGGTATGAAATTATCGTTTAAAATAGGTTACTAACGTCGCTGAATTTATAATCTATAATATCCGACGTCCTCTTGATATTTAACACCTACTTAAATGTAACGGATATATCCGCTCTCTTTAAGATATTAATAGTCGTAGCATTAACAAATTTTACTCATCTTTTTTAATTTCACGAGAATACTGAAGACCGTATTAAACCGTAATTACACGGTACTTTGGGTCATCGGCAGTTCACGCTAATGCCACGGCGCGACGGTACGAGAAATCCCCACCGATTCGCATCAGATTAGATGACGAACATTAAATTATTTCTCGCTTCTTCGGCTCTGAGAGACTTCTTCTCGATGTTCTTTAAATATCAACCAGTCCGAATCGATCTGGAACGTCGCATTCTTTTAATACAGATAAATAAAGTATTTAAAGTAATTTTCGAACGATCTTTCTCTAATTTTTCGGAATAATATTTCGAAATGGAGAACCAGAAATGAGATATCCCATGAATACATCAAATTTTTCGATTTCAGACCGCGAGAGCTTAAGCAAACGTCAACCCTGGTTTGCCGGATCCAAAACATTTCATTTCATTTCGAATTCCCTTTCCGGGATTTTTGCGAAGTTGCCCTTTGCGCGCTGCACAGTACGTTCCGATCACAGAGGATAGGATGAAAGTTTGATTTTTCCAAACGCGTAAGCTCGCGCAGTCACTGAGAAGTATCCTTCGGCTTCGTGATAAATTGAACACCTCTGCATTTCGATCACGCGCCTCAAACGAGAACCATACCCCCACTCCTTCCGACCCCACTCTGCCCCCTGTACCCCGTCACCATGACCGCCGCTCCCCAACCCCTTTCGTTCTTCGCGACAGGAGCTCGTTTTTATGAAAATTTATTGAAATATCAAATTCGACCGCCACGACTGTACGATCGCGATAAATAATTCATGAAATGCAAGCGGGACAATCAATAAACTTCTCAAGGCACACAGTGTTCAGAAATTCATCCATCTATCTCATTTTATCTGATATACCGGTCGTCCCCTTGCTCTTTTATCTTCTGTTAATTTCGTTCACGATCGATAAGTGGGATGATCGCGGTGGAAAACGTCAAAATCATCGAGACTTAATCAGTACTGATAGATACGAATCGAAGTGAGAAATTGAGAAACTTCACACGCCACGAAAAACATTTGTGTGGACGCGTAAATCGAAAAGGACAGGTGCGCATGCGCGGACGTAGTTTTGCTCAAAAGCGATCGCTGGACAAATTTCTATGCGATTGTAACGCTAGGTCGTTCGTAAATGGCAACGATAAATTAGCGTGGTCACCGTTCAAAGGTGGCAATTACGACCGTCAAATGCCGATTGGTTTAACGATACACGTTGCGACGCTGGCGACCTCCTGTGTGTCGATCAAGAAACTAATTTCGACAGATCGCGCACCTTGTGTCACGTAGACGACAACTGAGTCACCCATCTAAATCGAGCAAGATAAAAATTACCAGATAAAATGGACGTTTTAATAAGCCAGGTGAATTGATGTCGCACAATGCCAAATTTCGTCGAAAAGCTGGCCAAAATTAAATTTTTCAAATGTAAAACTGTTTTGCTACTATGCTACATTTGCTATAAACATTTCAATGCATCTAATAACGCGCGAAATTTTGAAATATAATAATTACCTACTGAGGTATAGGTCGTCAAATTTGACGAAATTTAATACCCAAAAAATCTCAAGAAAGAGGAAAATGTACCTATAACTTTCGAAAAGTTTATAAATTACGTTTATTGTTAATAACAAATCGTTCGCAACATAAATTTATAATAAAAGTGAAAAAATTAATCAATTATTGGTTATTAACGCGGGAAAATTATTATTAACGGAATCGGTAAAGTCCGGAAATTTCCGTCGCTCTTCGGCTGATCCGGGAGCTACATAAGGGGCGCTGTGCCAATACCCGAGTCATTTGTCAATTTGACTTCGTAAGGGAAGTATTAAAATTTTTTGGGTATGGGAGGGTGTTAATGGAGGAAAGGGGTTGTTGGATAGATAATTGGCTAGGCGATAGCCACTATGCATTCCACTGACACCTCACTCGCTTAAATAATTTAATAATTACTTTTTTGTCAAGATACCAATTTTTTTTTTACAAATCAAAAAATGTCTTCATACTTTGGCCAGCTTTTTGGTGCAATTGCTTGATGAAGTGACGTACCATAAACTAATATATATCGATACCTATAACAATTATATGTAATATTCTCTCTCTTACTACTCTAACCTAACACTTTCCCATAGTCGCTTAAGAAAGAAGCGGCTACCACTAATGAGCAACTCGTAGACAATGATTATTTTTACGACAAATTGCCTTCGAGTTATAGTTGTGTGTCGTTCCCTATCTAGCCGTAAATAATGCAGCGTCGGGAATGATATACCAACAATAATCCAGGCAACAAAATTCAGCAGTCGTTAATTTGCATAAGCGCGCTACTCGTTTTGTTGCTTGCATGCACGCGCGCCCTCGCGCGCACTCGGGTATGTTGTTTCGAATACAATCACAGAATCTCGAATATTTTATAACCGAGAGTAAACTTCACGACAGGGATAATTACACGCGTTATTTACGGCGCCTCTGATGTGAGAGAGTAAAGAAGAGCAGGGAAAGGTAGACGACACGACAAAGAAATATTCCGATCTCGTGGGGATTCCTTGAATTCGGTATTCCTCTCTCGTATTTGATACGTCACGGCGTTTTTCATTCTACATTTCTGAAACGAGTTAGAGAAAAGGTGAACACACCCTGTCCGGGTACAATATCGGATCGACGGTTCATTTAAATATAAACGAGCTACGTGAACAAACGCTTGGTCGCACGATGAACACGTAATACCTTGACGCGTATACGTAATTCAGACATAGAACTGTAGAAACGCGAAGGCGGCTGCTATAATGTGAATACATCAGCGACAAGATGCATTTACATATCTAGATACGTTTACGATGATTAAAAATGCTCGCATCTCCCGTGCCACCTGTGTCCACGACGGAAACTTTCGAAGAAAAAATTTAGTTCGGAACGGACGCACAATGGCTCTGCTCTTCAAGTGCAAATGAAGGAACCATTCGTTTGACCTTATGTAAATATCGTGTTATTAAATGAATAAAAATTAACACATAAAGCTTCTGCTTTTATCTCGGCTGCAGCCAATGTGTATCTTACATATTAAAATATTTGACAGAACCTATTCCAGGAGAATAAACCTCATTTGGAAAGGTAAATAGTCGTCTAGGTACTAGCTACTAACCTCAATTGACGTAATGTATAATAGGTTTGTTACTGACGCATCTACAGTTGCTCGGGTCAACGGTTTCATTCAAGTATAATACTTATATATGATACGAGCCATTTTTATAACCTGTGAATAAGGACAAATTTGTCACATGTCGCAGCTTTGTAGCTGGATAACGAAGTATATGATAATTACAAAGTTTATAATGTCTTTACGTAAACGAAGTGACGCAATATTGATCCACTTGCTTGCAAGTTTGGACGTACATCCCTAAAACAAAACTACGTGAAAGGAAGAAAATCATTCGGTGCACTTTCTCGGAAGTTGTGATCGCACAATTTTACGCGAGCCTGACTTCGTAATGGTATTCTCTTATTTCGATGCATTCATGTCGAAACGACAAAAATCCCCGGGGCTAAGCCCCACATGTTGCTCCCGAGCAGGCTAGAATACCAGCGGCCAATGAAAGGGCCGCGCAACAGACTCGAAAGGTCAGTCGTGCATACGAGTGGTTCGATGGTCAGTGCGTTCGTGCGCGCGTGTTGGTCCCTTGCTACGCGCGCACATCGAGGCACGCATGCACACACAACGTCCACGGAAGCCCGTCCGAGTCAGGCACCCTGCTCACGCTGCGCAGTCCTCCCTGTTCTGAGTTAAACAGTTCTCCGAAAAAGGAGCCTACTGAAGTCTTCCCAGTTTCCAGGTTTTATCGACTCCTATCGTCGCATAAAACCGTAAACTCTACTCACATTTCGTCCGTCGGAATAAGGAGTCACTTGTTCCCCAGAAGAAAAAGAATAGCAACAGATGGGAAAGAAAGACAAGGACAGCCTATCGTCACCGCGGAGACCGATATTTTTGTTTCCTACGTACATTATGTGGACGCAATATTTTTCAATATGAAGGTAGCGCTTGTGTGGCCTGGCAATCGGTCGGCCGAGATTATTCGACCGTGAATAATCGATCTATTCCAGGAAACTATCGAAAAAATAATACCATGCGTAATATTTCTAGGCATTCCGAGGTAACTTAACGTAAAAAGAGATTCTGTTCTCAATTTCTACATCAAACATGGTAACAGTGCAAGAGAGGCTTGGCAAGGACGAAGATATTGTTGGATTATAATCGATCGATAACTCATTACCGATCATGCGACCTGTTTACAGTTATATTATCAACACATTATCCGGAAATTACGTGAATAACCTATAACCGAGAAAAAGACATTTTATACGGACACTTTTGACTCAAAAACAAGATTCAAGTTGTTCTTACCTGATCTATTAGTAAGATATTATACAAAACGCTTTATATATATATACAAATATAACGCAACTATTTTCGTTCCACTCGACGCACAGGTCAATCGTAAAAAGAATTGTAAGCCGTCAAAGGAGAACATAGGAACGATCAAATCCGTGAGGTAACACGATAAAAATAAAAAAGTGACAAGGGAAAAACTAAAATTGTTACGAATCGAGAAAAGCGGTCACGTTTCTCGTAAAGGGGGAATAGTGCTGCCCTCAACCTTTGATATCATTACAGGAATGATGGTTCCTGGATAATGGAGAGAAAATGGAACAATAGGTGTGTTGCCACCGAGTTGGTACATTGCTGTGCGAGATGACAAGTAAGAAGTGGGAAAGTGTCAGGTGAAGGTACCTTCGGCAGCACACGATCCCAGCGCCATTACCGACTCTATCGTAAATTTCCAGGTTTTATTTGATGAGCGCGAACCAAAAGCGCATCGCCAGTGGTCGAACCACGCCGCGGCCATGTTTCTTTTCTCCTTTCCTCCCTGCACTGCGGCGAAATGATCTATTTACTCGCCATTGGAGCACAACATGTTAACGCGTTCCGTTCAAGATGAAAAAAACCACGTAACTGCTTTTTCCCAGACTACGCACAACTTGAGTGTTATAATCGGTTTCTCAATGGATTTCCTCTGGTTATCACACGGCCAAGTACGTTTGTTCATTCTTTGGTAAAACTAACAGAACTGTCGGGACAAAGCCGCACGACAATGCGATTTCATTATGGAAATACAAAACGGCGAAGAACTTTCTAAAAGTTCTCCGTCGTCGTACGCAACGAGGGACGAAAAAGAAAAAAGAAAAAAAAAAAGAAAATCGCCGAGAAGCTCGTAACGGCATTTCGCGTTCATAAATCATTCATGGAGACGGTAAAAAAAAAAGATATAAGTAAAAAAAAAAAAGGGAAAAGGGAAAAAAAAATAAGGAAAAGTTCTTCGAGCTCGCTCCTTCGCAAGATTGACTGAATAAATAATACAGCGGGAGATAAATGCGAATCTGTATGAAAGCGTCTTTCCATCGAAATTGTGTACGCAACGGAGTTATAAGTTTATGAAAGATGTATTTCGGATCGACAAGTACGATTGATGAAAAAATTGATGCGGTGAGAGAAGTGCCGTCTTTGGAACAGTTTAAAATTCGATTTTTGGTACACGCAGGGAAATAAAGGGAAAAGAAACAAGTATCATTAATCACAATAGAGCCTTGGTAAGGCTTTGAAGACTAGCGAAACGGTATAGTCAGTGAATGCAACTATATGAACCTCCGTCGATAAAATTCCAGAGGGCGCGCTATCGAAATCGGATTGACCCGCGTATGGTTCGTCTGACATCATGTATGATATTATGAAAGGAGTAGATTAAACAACGTTCGCTGCGAACAAAGAGGTTGATTCAGTCGAAAAGTAACATGTCCAATCACTGCATCGAAAAATGTGTCAATCATCAGTTCCAATTTTATTCCCGGTTTATAGTAACTAAAAAGGAACACAAGTTAGAAAAGCGACAATACTTCGATATTTAATACGTTAAGAAAATACGCGAGCGAACGACAGAATAAAAAGGTGGAGCGATAAACGATCACGAAGTGCTGTTAGTGTTTCGACTAAACGACAATTTATTTCCTTCCAACTGACGACGATACGACGTCCCATGATCGGGCGTCGTGGCGTTTTCCGGAAATTTTCCATTTACCACAGCAATTTCGAAGAGAGTTGTACAAACGAATATTCGTGGAAATCAACGTGGACAGGGAAAAAAAAAAGGAATTTTTGAAGTGGAATGTCCCCCTCGTTTATCACAAAACTAGTTTGCGCCTAGGGTAAATTTGATAACTGCCTCCTCTAATACTGGCTAGAGGCAGGAAAGAAATGCGTTTGAAGAAATAAATCGGTTAACTAAAAGCGATAAAATTTCCATCGTTATCCAATCCATCATTTTTCTTGCTACCAAACGTTAATGTCATTGGCGCATTTTAAAACGCTTTATAAACTTCATCAACTTTTCACGTGGAAGCTTGGCAAATTTTAGGACGCAATTCAAAATTCTTATCAACTTCCCTTTGTAGTTACCAACAGTCAGGGTGCACGAAATTTTTAATTACGCCCATTTGAAATTCAAATTCTACCGCAATTTATTAATCTCCCTAACTTTAATCTGTCGTTGGGCCGGAACTTTGGAACGATCCCGTTTGTGCAGTTTTAAAACTCGCTTGTTGTTAATGGACGCAAACCGGAAGTACAGTTGACACGTTCTTACGGTTGTAGTTCCTTCCAATTATTTCCTGCGAACTGTAAATTAAAATGCGAACTGTAAAACCCATATTCATTGTTCTGTTCGTACTCGAAAAATATTCATTGTTCGCGAGGAATACAATCAGAAAAATCATTACCCGAATTCTAGAGTCTATTCAAATCCATACCTGACACCACCACTCTGTCGGTCGACACCTCTTTCATTCGACTTCGTATAAAATGTTTCCAACAGAGTTCGAAAAATTTTTCCTAACTTTGCCTGGAATATTGTCCTGCATGTGATCAATATAAAACTGAACATCCATCGAACGCAACTTGACAAAAAAAAAGAGAAAAAAAAATGAACAGAGAAATTGGAAAAATAGAGAAAAAGGGAGAAAACCGTTGAAAACGGTTAAAAAGAGACGCATGCTGAAACGGCCTAGCGCATCGTTCGTGAAACGAAACCAACGGTTAAGTGCAGCTAGGCGTTCGCAGACGTTTCCACTTGTGATCGAACAATCGGTTTGAGCTTCCGGAAACCAAGAAAAGTCGAACGTACCGATTCCATTGGACACTACAGTCGCGGGGTTCCAATTACTGGCAACCAACCGAGTCGAGGGGCAGAAGGGAAGAAAAAACAAGCTTCCACGATAGGCGCCCGTAACTTCTAACCGTATGGCGTGCTTTCGTGGAATTCTATAAAGACCTCTTAACGTCCATTTCCGCTTTTAAGTCGTTGCACTTGAAATTGTTTTTCGTTAATTGCACTATGGCCAGGGTTTTAACGACATTTGCATGTGTTTAATATAATTCCGATGCTTCGACATTGTTCAACAGTCTCCTGAGGCACAGAACATGTAAAAAAAAAAGAGACACAATATATAGGTTATGTCGTGAACGATTTATCATACGAACGTGGCGTCGACTTTCTAAAATGCTATAATTCACTTACATTTACAATCCCGTCTGTTCCGCTAGTTATATTATAAAAAGTACTTACATTAAATCAAATTTTTTCATAGGTTCACGCGATTCCCAAAGTTTAACAGGACCGATAAGAGAGCCTTGAAAATTATGAGTTTACCCTAAACATACTTTTTTCCCAACTATTACGTGCCACGATAAAGATAACTTTTTGTCACGGAACGTCCCCGCGCGACCACCGAGAAGTATAGCTGAATGTTTCGTATGGATACGTATATATATATGTGCATGCGCGCGCATATCGGTGCGTCAGCGCGTGCCATTACCATGTTCCAGTCTGATCTAAACGTACCGTGACGAAATTAGTTTCGAAAACGACGTTACCGACACGGGAATTGGTGCGGAGACGGTGTCGCGTCTATTTATACACGAGTATTTACCGACTGGTTCGTGGCACGCAAATTTTCGAGACGAGCACAAAGGAGGCATAGTAAACGGTTGCTAATTTCACGCGAACGCACTTTAGACCCACGCAGGCGCAGGCGCACACGCCACTCAATTCGCCTCGGTTTATTTCGATCACACTGACAGCCATTGTTCTTCGAAAATTTCCGACCGAGACAGCCGGTCTATCAAGACGTGAAACAGCAACAAGGAAACGGTTTTCATGGTAAATTTAATCAATTATCGTTCTCGCATGCACGTCACTCACGTTTACATTGTCTTTACGCATAGCCTGCATGTCGCCTATTGATGACTAGCTCCTATTTCTCTTACGATGTTCGGATGATAACCTCTATACGGTCGCTGCGGTCTGTCGATACATTATACACTGAGATGAACTATTTCAATTTCGAACCAAACTATGAATTAGAACCCGTCCGAAATGCATTGATTCCGTAGCTATTGGTGGGTATAAATTCTACACATTTACATTGCCCCTGTGTATATTTGTCATGTTATTTTACCTACTGTTATATTTGTTTATTTTATGCTCTGTTTTGACTTCGATGTTTATTTTGGAATTATGCAGCTTGTGGTTGACACTGATTACTTTGTTTTGTCTGCTTTCAGGCGTGACACCATATTTGTGAGATGCAATTTTTCACCCGTAAAAACCAGATTATCGCTTACATATGCGTGCTATTTTATGGCAAATTTATCAGCAATCGAAGTTCGTTTCCAATGCAGTCTTTCTCCGAGGGATAAAAAGTTTTATCATAGACCAAGGAACGTATACTTAGAATTCTTTGTTACCAGTATCTACAACAGTTTCGTGCAAGGCCTGCAAGTCACAACGTAGATGGTCTGTAATGATTGAAGTTTGCGGGGTTCACTTCCTGTGAGATTATGATTTCAGCTATCTGTGATCCGTGCCGCTATTGGAAGCAAGAATCCGTTTCTACCCTAACGTTTCTCTGTTACCTATAGCTCACCTATAAACGTGCCGTAACTACATTTCCTGGCAACATCGTTCCTAACGTTTTTCAGAAAACGCAATTACGAAATTTCGAAATGGCGAAACAGACGTTTTACAGAATCACATATCCCAACTACCGTTGGACACAGAGTAAAGTTAAATTTCAGGGTACCGTAATGATACTGTCCAAAATACATCCATTCAGGACTGGAATAAATGGATAGTTCGATGTAACACAGTTCTTTTTGCAGTTTACGCCAAATTATGATAATGGATGCGTTCTCAATTCGTACAACGTGGGTTTGCAACCTTTTCGACCGTGATCCACGGTTAGCAAAGAATGACGAGGAAGAAAGGAGCGGAAAATAAGTGGAGGGGAAGAAGGAAGGAGAAGCCAGGACCGTATAATTACCAGCGTCCAAGCAATTTCCAATGTTTCCCCGGTCGGTTCGCGTTTTGCTTCTTGCAGAGAAACGGAGAGCCCGGGGGCTGATTCGTTGAAATTGATTCTCCGCTTCTCGAACCCACCATCTGTTGGCGGCATCCCCAAACGAAATAATCGAGGAGATTAAGGGCTTGCAAGATACGGGAGGTCGCGGCTGCCCTTTCCTCCCTTTTTCTCAATAAAATCCGGGCACGTTCCTGTGGCGGATATTGTGTATTATGTAGGACAGGACACGTAAAGCTGTTGCGGTCAAAAGTTCGACCTTGCGTGAACGTACAATTGCTTGGTGATCACTTTCGAAAATAGCCCATAGTCAATCTCGATATTTTGTCGTCCAAAAAATTTTCCCTGGTAAACTAGACAGGGAAAATGGCGCGCGAAACACGTAGATGAAGCCCTCATGACCCCACCCCCTGCCGTCGACGTTCATTTATCATTACCTGTGTGTAAAGGGTGGAAAACGTAAAAAAACGACGAGGCAGATATATATAAACGGGCGCGATTCCGATGATTTGTCCACATTATTCATTCCAGGAAACGTACAAACGACGCTCAGGAACGGCGTTGATAAACGACGCCGAGACACGTTCGATTACGTTGCCGGGGAATCTGAAAAATACACGCGACGTATTGAGCGATATGTATTCTAAGAGGGCCGATTTTAAATTGATACCGACCGATCTCCAAAGTGGTTTCGACACTAGTGTCCACTTGTTCATATATCTGTTTATAATACGCTCATGATCCTATCGATTACGCGTAAAGTATTAATTACTCGAATGCATTTATGATGCGGTATATTTGCCCCAAATTCTCTCCGTTAAAGAAACCCGACGAAATATGAGTTGATATATCGCACTAAGAATTTAAGGACACATCTAGCGATCTACGATTCTATGCCCTGTCGTGTTAATTCAATGATCGGATTAAAGCCTATAGCGGACTAGCCTTTCGCGTTTTCGTGGATATTTCGCGAGAGGTTATTGGAAGCATGGAATTATTTATTCCGCATATAATCCACTGTGCGGCCGTATGCTCGTTTCAATGCTCTATAACATAACGGTACCAATTATAATCATTATGCCCGCGTGCAATTAACATTAACAACGTGCGCCGGATTATAAACGAAACGGAATGAATTCAATGCAGTTGCGTTATTGAACTCGCACCTACCATTCGAATCTGCACAAGAGACTGAAGAATAACGAATTTATCACTGAAACAATATCTGCTTGACAAATCTGTGGTTTTCAGTCGTAAACAATACCAGTGGCGGAGGTTCAGTTCTCGACCACTTTATTCGGACAAATACTTTGAAACAGGCTATAACTTCCAGTGAGGTACATTTACATATCATTTACAAAACACATAACGCAGACATAATAACATTGTATCAATGTCATTTCAGGTGTCGTAGTGTGTTTATTGTACTTGGAAGCGGCTAATAAGATGGTCAAAGGTACTCAGTATTTGATAGACCATTCTATCCAAGACGAAATTATTAATATGCCCAGGATGTCTATCCAGCGAAACCCAATTTTCTCCCAAATCCACGTCTGCTCGCAATCAACTTCCCGATCTCTGGCGGCCCGTCTTAAAATACTTTCTCGATGACGTATGGCGGGTTCGCACACGTGAATCATTACAAGGCTAAAATACAACGTTCAATGAACAGGCGAGCCGCGCACGTGCGGGACAGGCACACGACACGCCTGGTCGTCTCCATTCAAGTCGGCCGGGAGTTAAAACTGTTTTACCAGAAGTGGCGGCACGTGATTACATCCCGGGCTATTCTTGGCGCTGGAGAGGCTAGGCTTGGATGCACGCTTTCTTTCTCCCTCTATCCTCTCCAAGAGAAGAACGGAAGCGCGTAACTGGAACACAACGTTTCAACTTCGACGGAGAGTGTTGTACGCGTCACCGGAAGAATAACAGGCGAGGAACGGAAAGGCGAGAGGAGAGAACGCAGAAGAACGAAAAGAATGGGCGACCGGGAGGAACGAAGTGGGTAAATGACTTCAGCTAAATCAGAAAATTTATCGTGAATACGCGACGAGCGCCCGAGCGAAACTATGCCACTCGGACGTTTCTTCTTCCGCCTCTTGTGCCCAACCAAGATTAAAATTCTTCTCACGTCCGCGTCGTTAACGGCGAGTGTTTTTTGATGCGCGAAAGGCCACCGGAGAACAACTTCTCTTTTTTTTCTGCTTCTCCGTCTCCCACTTTTACTTTGTTTTTTTTTTTTTTTTTTTTTTTTTTTTTTTTTTAAA